GGTGGAAAAATATGAACTGCCATTAATGGCTCATCCAGTAGCTTTTTTGATAATTCATTTTCATAATAGGCTAAAAAAAAACATGTTCTTGTCCTGTTTCTGTACAGTGCTGTATTAAATCAGTGATGCAGAAATAAATCTGCTGCATTCAAGCACACTGTGGTGTTTATGCAGGACAATGTCCCATCACACGCCCCTCAGTGGCTTGGCTAGCCACAAAATCCTGAAAAAAAAGCTCAAATAATAAATTGGCCCACATTCCTACTCAAGTATCAAACTTGTGGGCCCCACTCAAATATAATTACAGTGAGAATGCACTTGTAAAAAATCATTTGGCTCGTTTTTCTTCTGTTATGGAAGTTAATTCTGCAAAAAAAAAAAATATATATATACATATAGAAAAAAATACATTTAGATATGTTCATGAATGATTTGGGGAAGAGTTGCTCGAAGCTTCGTTGTTGTTCACTAATTAAGATAAACTCAGTTGTACGCACATTTATGAACAACGTGTATTTAAAGAACTTGTGATATTTATTTTACACATTTTTGTCTTTTTCCAACATTCAATATTCACATAATAAAGAGAAACAGGTGAGCACATTAATCAAATTGTCATTAAAGATATAAAGATAAACCTCTGTATTAATTTTTAAGCTTGGGTCTTTTAGTAAAACACATTAAGGTTTGCAACAGTACCATGGAAATAAGTGTGACTTTTGGACTTATCTCTTTTTCAATGTGCAATCAAGAGAGAACAGATGTTATCCTGTGAGTCCTGCAGAGAGTGTACAAGGAGGCAGTTGGTTGCAACATGGGCGATGGCCTCAATCAGCAGGGATGGACGAGACAGTGACCTTGGAGGTGGTGCCACCATCAAGTCACAGTAAAATGTCACGAGATCAGGCCTCGCAAAGTTAATTAGGTTGTGTCTGAGCAAAACGCTGAGTCGTGACAACTGTGGGCACTCCACGTCATAGAGGGGAACTATAGGACTCAAATGCCAAAAATAAAAAATAAAATAAATAAACCAGCACTGATTTAATAAAACAAAATGCCACAATTAATTAAAATTGGACATAAACTCATTAAATGCTTAAGCTAATATATTATACCACTTTTAGGAACAAAAAGGCAGCTTAAAATTTGATGAGAGCAACACAAACATAAATAATAACGATAAAGGAGCCTTTTTTCTCTACTGCAGATATAATTTCTTTCTACAATCAAAAAAGCTACAATTTAATAAACTAGTTACGAGTTATCTAGCTACTAGTTTACTCTCTTATTGCAAACAAGAAGCGATATGGGAACACCATTCAAAACTGTCACTGTCTTCTCTGGGTCAAATCTCATTTTAATGGATCGAGAAAAAGTGGAAAACAGTGCAATGATCAAATAAATAAATAAAAAACATATAATTCTTTTTGGGATTTACAGATGCCTGGTCCACCATTCTAAAGAGTCTAGAGAACGTCTTGCCTGTTATTGGTGCAGAGTTTAAATATCCAACTCTCTGATGGTGTAGAGGTGCATTAATGTGTTTGGGCAAAATGGAACATAAAAGTTTTAGAATTCAATTCAAAAATATTTTATTAATCCCAAAGGGAAAATAAACATTGCTCTAACTCATCATCCTGGTTTCATTAAGAGTTATGTGTATGCTGACGACTGTGGGCAGGAAGGATCTGCTGCAGTCCATCCCACAACAGATCTGAAGAAACTGTCTGCAGATGCCAATCCGTCTACCCAGACCCAGCGAGCCTCTCGGTCCTCCTGGACAGCAGGACCACCTGAATGTTGGGCAGAGCTCCTCCCTGAGTGATGGCCACTCCTCTCAGCAGCTTGTTGAGCTCCTCATCATTGCAGACAGTCAGGTGCAGGTATCGGGGGCTGATCCTGGTTTTCTTGTCGTCACGGGCTGTGTTTCCTGCCAGCTCCAGGGTCTCAGCAGTCATCACTCGAGCACCACATTCAGGTAGATGGAGATGCATCCACGGTGCCTCCTTTACAACTCATTTGGGACATTTGGGAACAACATAGCTCCTGTTCAGACGTGTTTTCTATGGAACAACAAAATGCTCAAAATTAAATACATAAGTAAAGCATTATGAAATAAATCAGCCTTCACATCTGTTAGTTTTCCTGAATGCCTGCTCACTGATACAACTAACAGCGAGTCCTCCCGTGCGCATCCCGTGTGCGCTCCCGTGGCGCCAATCCATTTTGGACAGTCCATCACTTTTTTGTCTAGACACCTGTATCTTCTGAGAACGTAATCCTTTCAATTTGATCTGCTAAAGTTATCTGGGCTGAACCAAGTTCATACAAATCTGCCATCCTTCATCATTGTTGACCTAGCGAGTCGCTGCTATCTGCTATGCTAGCTGTACCAATGAGCAGTTAAGGCTCAGCCAGTGGGCGTGAAGGTCCAGCCCACTGACGGTGACTGACAGCTGAAGTCATTCTGCTGAAAAGTGGCATTATGATAAGAAGTTACGAAAACAGAATTATAATATATATATATATATATATATATATATATATATATATATATATATATTTCATAATAATGAGCTTCGATACTTATTTCATAATGCTTTGTTTATTTATTTGTTTAATTTTGAGCATTTTGGTGTTCCATATTTTTCAGGGAAGGGCTTGCATATTTAAGCAAGACAATGCTTAACCACAAACTGCATTCAATACAACAACGTGGCTTTACATAATAAAGAGCCCTGTGCTGAAATGGCCTGCCTTAAAATAAAATTATAATAATGTTTATTTATACTTATTTACACTTATTTATTAATTTGTTTGTTTAGCAGTTGTAAACAAATTAAAGCAACAAATATATATATAATCAAAGCAAATGATGCATGGACCATTTAAATATCCTGGTAATGTGTTAGTGTTTGCTTTGATCACAAAAGCCTTATTTAAAACATTTTGGGCTAACTCATACAACGATAACAAGGACCACTGTGTCCATGGATAGAAAACAAAATAACTTTATAAATGATAATGAGCACAAACCCCCTCACTTCACTTGCTCCAACATTGCAAACTGCTTTACAACACACTGAATCAAACAACAAGCCATACAACCCTTCGATGCTGTATCCCTGTCGTCACATTAAGATCCACCCCCGCATGTTAAGAAACAACAAAACATTAAAAAAAAACATTCCACCTCCATCTTGGGGGCAAATCTCTTCTTTAAAGCCCCCCTAAGTCTCTGCAGCTAGCACAAGCCAATTATTTGTATTTTGTTCCAGAGAAGTTAGGTGGATCTTTTATTATTTATTTTTCATTTAGCTGAGGGTATTTACTGACATTTCATAAAGACATGACCTCATTAGGATTTTAGCATGTTCTGCTCGTGTAAAAGAAGCATGCATATTATTGAATCATGCATTTCCATACTAAGCATTCAGGAGTCAACTGAGTAGAAACTAACAGATTAAGCTTGTAAAACAAGATATAAAAGCTGTGAGGAGAAAAAATAAATAAATCTATGTAATTGAAAACCCCGTGAATCGACGTCTGTGCACTGTGATCTACTGTGGCCACACCAATAATTGGAGGATGCTGTGACATTCTTGGTAATAGGCCCACGGGAAATGTAAATGTTTCTGTGCCAAAATGATGCAGTGGAATCAAAGTTTCTCTCGGTTCGAACATCTCTGTGGGAACTCTATTTTTATTTTTATACGGCTCCTCATTAAGTGCCCAAGTCACAAAGTGTTTGCTGTCCCTGTGTCCAGACTGCAGTTTTGTTTTGGGGTGGGAAAAAAAAAAAGATTTGAAGTTTGAGGATAAACAACACTGGTGCAGTTTGAGGAGATAAAGATCCAAAAAATTTAGAGGTACATTGTATGATTCTGCTAAACAGAGTGACAGATGTTACTGAACAAAACCACATAAAAATCAAAAGATTCTAAACAATAGTAATCATTGTTATCAGAAAAAAAAATACAGCAACCATTTTTTTTTCTTAAATGACCCACTTGTGTTGCAAAAATAAATAAGATTTAAAAAAAGCTACATTTCTGATGTTTGACTTGTCAGATTGCTTGAATAGTGCTGGAAGTTGATAAAATCATCAAATAAAACACACACACAAACCTTGGTCCAGCTTCTTTCTTCCACAGTAAATCAAAAAAAGTACATCACAGTAAGTGTGAGCAGCTTTGTAGGAAATTTCTTGCATCTCTCAATTTAAGTACGGCACACAAGCAAAAGTAAAATAATAATAATACTAATTAAAAAAAAAAAGCAAACAACAACAGCTTTAGGTATGGAATTCATTTTTAATAACCTCCCTCAACATAATTAAATTACATATTTCTCCATGCTCATGTACCAGAGGTGAGACAACTGTATCGAACACGTTACACCTACAGTGCATCTGCACATGCTTACAGAAATGTATATATATATATATATATACACATTACAACAGTATCTAACACGTTACACCTACACTGAATTTAATTTAGAGTGATGCATTTTATTTATATGTCCTGCAACATGCTGTTGTTTCCCACTCTGTCCTCTCTCCTGCTCCCAGAGATCTTCAATGTCACACAGAACTTGCAGATTACAATCAGTGACTGTTAAAATAACCAAAACTAAGTCCAACCGAGACTCCAGCAATGTCTGTTACCTATAATTATAGTTCAACTTCATGTTAATACATATTTGTAAATCATTAATAAACAAAACCTGTTATTGTTGTTAAACTGCGTGACTGCACTTGATCTGCGCTGCCATCTAGTGGTAATTAAGTAAAACTACAACTTGCTTTGCGGATAAGCAAAATATCGCCAGTATAATAAAGTAACATACTTGAAAAAAAAAAAAAAGCATGATAATTACTTGTTAGATAATAATGTATGCAGACAAGGTTTAAAATATTGTGGAAATGCTCAGCAATATTTACAATGTGATATTTAGACGAGGTAGATCTTGTGCGCATGCGCAGACAAAGAGGCGGATGTTTTTAGCTGCTCCCTCTTGGTTCCTAACGTTATGTTTTCGGCTCAGTCATTAAAATGGAGCTGATGAAACCGGTGAATTTTACAGTAAACGTTTCTGAGGTAACGCTCATGGTTGCTGCTTGCATCCCTAATTGCTGTCATTCGTGTATAAAACCGTGCTGGCTTTTATTAACTTTATTTTTTATGCAAACATGCTACGTTAGCTGTTAGCCTAGCACCGTTAGCTTTTGATGTTATATTTAAGATGCTAACGGTTTTTAGCCGAGGTTGCTAAAACATCTGCACTTCTTAAATAAACCTTTTAGTTACTTTTTTATTATTATTATGACTGTGGTACTAGTTAACCTTTCGTTTAACGTGTCATTAAAGGTAAAAAGCCTTTTTCTAAATACTTTTGAATGCAAAGTAAGCTTTTTATAATAATCTTACATGTTTGTATAGAAATTCTAATGCATTTATTTTACACAATATAAACAACATGATTGTTTTCATATTTTTATTTTAACAGTGAGTATTCGTTTTCATTCTTCAGCAGCTTCTGTGAAAGTCCTTTTTGTTTTGCCCTCATAAACATAATGTGCAATCCATTATTGTAGTAGTACTGTACACAGTATAAGTATTGTCATTGTGTAGAATTAACACGATGTGCTCAATCTGATGGTTTTATAAAGGTTCATAGCCATTAGGTGTGCCATTGTAAAATAACATTTATAAAATATATTGTTAAAAGGTAAGTTATTAGTTACAAAAACCATACAGTGTTATTTATTAGCTTTTATAACTGGTTAGTAGTGATGGTACAAACATGTGCTCTACAGTAAATGGCACACTCCTACAAACGCATGGTTCTTTGTGGACATAAGGTATCATGCTGAGGGAAATGTTATTTGAGGATCACGTTAAACTTGTGTAAAACACATTAGTTACACTTACAAAACAGGGCACTAAATATATATATTATTACAGATATTAATTTCCTATTTTTGGGGATTGTTTTATAAATTGTATAGTATATATGCTATATAAACAAATCCACACTGTGCAAAAATGTCATGTGTGACATATGATACAGTGAGAAGTAAAATTTTTATACCAATTTGAGTTTTTATCACTGATTCTGCTCCTAAACGTGATGGACTTCCCAGTTTTTTTTCTGCAACAGCTATCAATGATTAATGACTTTATGTAAAAATGAGTGGATTATGTTTAGTTTGTGGTTGAACGTACTTGTCTTAATTCCACTTGCAGTGACCTTGTAGGAGCCTTCAAGACGACAAAGCCATGGGGAATACAAGCAGTGAGAGGGCTGCAATGGGCCATGGAGAGAAGGCTCAGAGGAGGGACAGCCGGGGAATCAAAGAGGGAGAAAGGCCAAAAATCTTGATGGATAGCCCAGAGGATGCTGATATTTTTCATGGAGAAGATATGAAGGCATGTAATAAATCAGACTCTGAGGCACCTATGTTGTTACACTTTTAAATGCCTGGTAATTTCTTGTAACCAAACATTTATCAAAATAAAAGTAAACTACATTAATAAATATTTAAAGTATTAAGTGTAAGTATTTTTGAATTTGAATTTTAAATCATGTATTCTAGGCTCCTTTAGAGAAGGAGGAGTTTCTTGCATGGCAGCAAGACTTAGAAGCAGACGACAAAGGACCAACATTAGATCGACCAACAGTCTTTCGGTGGACTGGAGATGGAAAGGAGGTCTACATCTCTGGATCCTTCAACAACTGGGCCAACAAGATCCCTCTTATAAGAAGGTGGGCACATGTTCTAAGCACACTTAGTGTTTCAGCTGTGCACTACCTGATGAATAGTGTTGTTTCACAATATAATGTTTAGCTATTATTTAAACAAGTTAAATTTTTAAGTAAACAGCTTGAGTTGTGCAAGTCATAGGTAAAGTAGATCTCAAACGTTTAGTGTATCTTTGATTGTTCAAATGTAATAACCTGTTTAATTCCAGCTTACTGATTCTGGCTTTGTTTGATCTTATTCATAAAATTGATGGGTCTTTTGACCCCATATTATCAGTAAATACAACCGAGACTTATTTGTTCTAGAAAGAAAACAGAAAAAGAGATAATTTTGCTCACCCCATTGTTATTTTACAAATGGTTTTCCTATTAGAGACCTTTTTTTTTACTTTGCTATTATTATTTAATAATGAAAATGTTAATAAATCACAATCTATACTGACTTATGAGTGCAATGCTTTCTTTTATCGTCTGTCAGTCAGAACACATTTGTGGCCATAGTTGATCTACCTGAAGGAGAGCATCAGTATAAGTTTTATGTGGATGGACAGTGGACTCATGATCCTACAGAGGTAAACACTCCAAAGGTCGAATATGACTTTAAATCCAAATGACATTTAGATTTTTATTCCCCATCACCCTCTGAGGAGATTTTTTTTACTTCACACAGGATTTTTAGTTTTCATTACCTTTAACTTCTAACATATAAAAGCATTACAGAACACAACTCTGAAGTCTAAAGAGATAAAACATATTTTGATTGTTGCATAAATTTGAATAATGCATAATAAATTGCCGTAAATTTGTGCAGCCAAAGCTTGTTTTGCTTTAGATATATAGTTTTGTGAGTTGTGTGTCCGTGTCTGGCTGCAGTAATAATTAAGAGACAGACATTGATGCAAATGTGAGCAAACATCTTTTTTTCTTTACAGATCTACAATGATATTTTTGTAATAAATAAATAAAATTAACAGACTAATGTCCTGATCTTAATAAATAGGACACTAGCACAGTAAGTTGGGGTCAGGATGACAATGTGAGTTAAACATTAAGTGAGTGTCTCCAAAAAAAAAAAAAAAACAACTTACATTTAAAACAATTTATAATGGCACACTTTTTCCATATATATATTACAAATAATGAAAAAAGGTATACATTTTTAAAAATGGTTTGAGGATTAAAAAGCTTTTGCTACGCTTGTTTAATAGGGTCAGTTTGTAGATCGGAGACTAAAAAGTTTAGGAACCTCCTCTCTAGAGGACATGTTTTTTGTGGGGTTTTGCTTTGAAACTTTAAGCCATTTTGATTGTTAAAAAAATAAAATGTCTGTCTTATTTAGAGGTGAGCTTGATTGTGTTGTGTTTACCAGCCTGTTGTGACCAGCAACCTTGGCACAGTCAACAACATCATCCAGGTGAAGAAAACGGACTTTGAGGTGTTCGATGCTCTGATGGTGGATTCACAGAAATCCTCTGATGTTTCAGGTGAGAGCAAACACCATCTAAACATTTACTGACTCATCTTCTAGATTTAAAGTTATCAGAAGAAAATTTTATTGACCATTTTTCAATAATATATATTTATTATATATTATTATTGTATTATATTATTATATATAATATTTGCTGTAGGTTTTATGATGACTGCATTGCATTAAAAACCGCCTTGCATGCCACAATTTTAAACAAATATGTCACACAATCTGCTAGTGTGGAGTATGTCGCCCCAAATGTTAGCTAAATATCTAAAACTGATATTGTTGGAGCTAATTTTATGCTAACAAAACAATATTAGTTGTGACAGCCAATGTGAATCGTAATAACTTTAAAAGTTAACTGTTTTTAGTTGTACACCTTTTTATTTTCTGAGAGTTTTAATAAAATATGTACCGATTCATGAGATATTTTGCTAACAGACAGACAAACACACATGCATAGTCACAAGCAATTAGCACAGGACTATTCAACTAAATTGCTCAAGGGCCGGACATCCAGCATTTATTCTCATTAAGTAAGTTTTATAATTTAAAAACTAGTTTTATTTAAAAATGAACCCACTGGTGGGCCAAACTGAGCACAACTGTGGGCCTGATTTGGCCCCTGGGCCACCAGTTGAACAACCCTGAATTAGAAGAATGCTGCTGCTATAAACATGTACATGATGAAATAAATATTTTTCTTTTATATCAGATGTGTCCCCACACGCTTTATATAAAATCTGTACACTGATCAGAAACACAGGATGACACCAAATGCACAAAATAAGATTTTACATTTGATTAAAACAGCTAGTAGCATGCTCCACTTTAGCTAATATTTGTTTCAAAACAAGCTGAAGATGAAGATCTTTGTGATTTATGTGCAATTTCATGTCAAACAGTCTTTTTCCTGTTCAGGCAGAGTTTCATGTAAACACACAGTCCTGCTGAAGGTGGAGGATCCAAATTCAAAATGCCGCAGGAGAAGATGAACGTCAGCAGAGGTTTTATCTTTCTCATACTAACTCTGTTTTTTTTTTATTTTATCAGACCTGTCCAGCTCTCCTCCTGGGCCGTACCATCAGGACGCTTATGTTCCTAAACAGGACGAGAAGATCAAGTCTCCACCGATACTTCCTCCCCACCTCCTCCAGGTCATCCTGAACAAAGACACAGGAATTTCTGTGAGTGGTTGTCATATTTCCCCTGAAGAGCTGAAGCTATTTCACTCTTTGCTGTGTTTTTTACATACACATATTACATGTTCTAATATTTTTGTCAGTTTAGATAAAAACATTTAGATTTTTGAGATTATATAAGTAATGATTCAATACATCATCTTCTGTGTTTTTGTTTTAATTGTTTGCTTTTTGGTTTGTTTTTCCACTCAGTGTGATCCTGCATTACTTCCAGAGCCCAACCATGTTATGCTCAACCATCTTTATGCTCTTTCCATAAAGGTGAGGTTTCTAGTTGACTAAAAGACACTAAAGTTATTATGTTAGTTCATTTATATGAGTTTCATGTGACTCCGTGTGAAAGGACAGATGTCCTTCAGGACCGAAGGACAGATAAATACCCTGAGAGGAAAGACAAACTGATCGCACATGCCAAGAGATATCTATAGACGGCAGTTCCAGACTAAATAGAGAAAATGGCTAAAAATAGAGCTATGTTTGCACTGCATTTTAAAACTGACTCAGCTTAAATTGTTAGCCTTCAACACTTTCCATAAGCTTTCACCAGAATTGATTAGATTTGTTTTAATGTATTTGTTTCTGCTCTTTACAGCTTTAGTTAGAAAACAGTCACATGACTGCTATGTTTGTAATATATAAAGATTATTTTAACTTTCAAACTATCTAGAAATATTTTGATGTTTATAGATGCACTTACAGTTTGAGAATATGTTTATCTCTCTGCTGAAACATTTTTATTTCATCAAAGTGAAGTCAGGTCCTCTGCAGCAAAACTTGCCCTCAATTTGCAGCAAGCACCAGTTGGAAGAGCAGTGTTGACTTCTGGGAAATGAACTGATGGCTTCTGGGTAATGTAGTCCTTTAGACTGGCAAAACAGTGAAGGCTTAATAAAAGAAAACTCCAAAATGGTGGCACTTTTTTAATAAAAAAAAAAAAAATTATGTACATGTACAGTACTTAAAATAAAAAACGCGATAGAGCGAGTCTGTGAATGTCGAACTACGAAGTAGCAAGGGATTGCTGTAGTCTTAAAGTAAAGTTCACCTAAATATGCATAATAATAAAAAAATATGCAACAAAATACAACATATACATATATATACATATACATATATATATATATATATATATATATATATATATATATATATATATATATATATATATAATATATATATATGTATATATACACACACCTGTTTCTCTCAAAACTCACTTTTTCAGGTTGACGCCAAGAACTTTTAAAATGTTGCCAAATCTCTTTATGAATGGATGATACCGAACAATGGAAATAAAAATAAACATCACAAAAAAAAAAACAAAAAAAAAAACCTGCTTCTACGATAAACGTTCAGTTGTTTGTTCTCCTGGAGGAATGTTTGTTTTGGAAATGGAAAATGCCCTTTCATAAAAATATGAGTCATACTGTGTTTTACTGTAAACTGTGCTAATTACATTCTCCTTTTTTTTTTCTTTCTACGACCCATTTTCTTTTTAAGTGACTCATTTTTTCTTATGATTGACAACGTTTCATAACAAGGTACCGCATTTGATAACAGCTTCCCAGAAATGCCATCAGGTTTGCTTTGGTAACAGTCTTTATACTTCTCTTTGTTTCAAAATATCCATCCATCTATCCTTTTTTTTTAATCCGTATATGCCTTTCTGGGTATAGTTGCAGTCGGGCCTAAAAAAATCCGACCTGGCCCCAGCCCATGTGCCATTTTGTCCGAACTCAGCCCGACTAATTAATTGTAATTACAGGTCCGAACCCGACAAAAATAGACTTTTTTTAAATTAAGCTTTTACTGCTTTTGTGAGCAAATCAGTTTGACATGATAGTTTTAAAAACATATTTCAAAGAAAGGGAAATATAAGATTACATGTTTATTAACAAGTCACCAAATGGATATTAACAAAACGAATAGCCTAAAAATCAACTCTAAAGATAAGGCTTTATACAATATTTTTAGAGCAAAATTATTTGGAAAAATATAGAACAAGGCTATTTTAATTGAATGCGCTGCTCGCTTCGGCTTTTCTAGCTTCAGGTGCTGCAACTTCCTTCACCACAGATGCAGGGCAGGGTGCAGGGCAGGATGCACGCGGCCAATGATCCGGTGATCCATCTGAAGCTTAACAGGACTTTTTTTTTTTACCTCTTTCAACCGACCGGTCAGCAGACATGCATGGCCGATGATCCCGTTGTCCATGAGAAGTTTAAGCCTTTTTTTTTTACCTCTTTCAAACGGTCAGTCGAACCTGAACGTGCACCTGACCTGACACACATCTTTTACTGTGCTGGTTTTGTAGAGTCAGTTCTCCCGTTTTTAGCTATTGTTTAATACTTTCCAGCTCCATTATGTCGCTTGTTGTGAGTCAATTGCAAATCTTCAGATGTGTGATAAAAGCAGGGTTGGCGGGGCCACATGCACAATTGTTGCGCAATGCGCCAGCACTACTCTCTCTTTTCAGTCTGATTAACTGCTGCACTCTATTTATTTATTTCTCATCCTCAACATATAAACTTACTGTCTCCTCCTCAACAAGTAGATTAACACAATTTTATATTGTGCATTCTTATGTGCTGTATGATTCGTAACACCACATCAAAAGCCTGATCCTGACCCGGCCTGCCCATCAAGCACATAATTTTGGGACACCTAGGGATAATTTAGAGTTACCCATTTGAAAATATGAATTTCTAATTAGATGTTTTTCTTTTGTGCTGTTTTTGTTCCGTCACAGGATGGCGTGATGGTGCTTAGTGCGACTCATCGCTATAAGAAGAAGTACGTCACCACTTTACTGTACAAGCCCATCTGACTGCAGGACTGTCTTTTGTGTGCTACATCACCTCCACCTCTATACCTCTCACTGGTTTGATCTGTTCACATCGCTCCACGTTAAAGAAGTTGTGTTGAATGAGATGTAGGCTAGAAAGATTTAGCTTTATAACATTGTAACATAATTTCTAGGAAAAGTAGAACTGGCACTTAAATCTAAAATAATAACAGTGAGCTTGGATGTAAAAGGAGACTCAATACGTATAGAGTGACAAAAAAATGAAGAACTTCCAACAGATTTATAAATATGTCTTAAGGGGTGCTAATATTTTTGGGATTACATTTGATATTCAAAACTTGGCTGCAGTAGGTCGGTGGTCAGTGCCGTGGTTTTGTAGTGCAGAGGTTGCAGGTTTGAGGCCAGGTGGCGTTAGGAAGGACATTCAGTGTAAAACAATTACCAAATCCTTCACGCGAGTTCGCTTGCTGTGGCAACCTCTGCAGAAGGAAGTAGCCTAAAGAAAAACGTTTAATGTTCAAAACTTCTGCGACACCTTGCCTGGGCAGTCAGGTTTTGGAAAATTGTTTTTTTTTCCACCAAAACTTTTATTTTACTTTATTATTATTTTAAAATGTCAACATTCAAATGCGTTACGGTCTTATCTACAAAAAAAGATTATGTACAGTGGTGTTTGAAAATTACAGAACTCTTTGGTATTTTCTAGATTTCTGCATAAATATATTAAATATATATATTTTATGCACTGATATTAGCTCATTAGAACCTAGTTTTGGAAATTCCAGGAAAAAAATATATATATAATTGGGTATTTGAAACTTGTTTAATATGACTTTACCAAGCCAGAAGGCTGTTGAAAACATCGTTTGAATGACATTATTAATGCAACATTTTAACATAGAAATAAGTATCGCTTGTTTAGTTAAAGGAAAAGGTCTAATTTAAAAAAAAGAAATCTGGACCAGACCAACAGTATGAAACAAACGTCAAATCTTCTCAAAACAGACAATTCTTTCTACCAGATAATGCCGAGGAAAGGTCTGACCACAAATCTGTTACATCTGCATCAGTTTCAAGCACCACTGACCACTCTACATTCTATATCTCCAGATATTCCACACATCTGTTTAGAATAGTTAATGCCATAGATTTTTCATTTGGTATAATACATTTATTTTTGTTTTCAACTGTTCTCTGTCATTCGTTTTAACCCAAAGCAATATTGTTGCTTTTTTATGGCTTTTTGACTGAATCAAGAGAGGAAATGTAAAATGTATTAATGCTGTCCAAACATGACTGCAAGACCTCTCTGTAAGTAAGGTTGCTGACATTTTTAACTACAGTAGTGAGGATAAAAGCACTTAATCGGGAATGTGAAGGTTTAAAACTGAAAACATGCACTGCAGTAGTTCTCTTCCTCTTTTATTATTTATGTTAAACTATAGTGACATGTATTGAGTGATGATCACTTAGGAAAAAATATTTATTTAAGTACCGAGTAATATATCTTAATGTCATTTATGATGTAGTTTATTTAATGCATAGCACTTTTTAATTTAGTTTCAGAGTCTGGTATAAACCAGTCAAGACAGAAGATTGTTTCATTTAAAGCTCCTAGGCAGTAGATGTAACATTGCACTGATGATATACGTTTAATTTATTTACACATTATGATTTTGTTCAATAAGATCACATTAAACAGTTGATTCTTGCTGACTTTATTAGTTAAGCATTCGTGTCGTAGCACATTGCCAATATTTAGAAGTACTGCTATTACTGTTGGGTGTTTTCTATGAGTTCATGATTGCTTTAACTGAGAAAAATGTCCAAACACTAAGAAAAAGCACTGATTAGCAGTAGATTGGGTGATAATTTAGTTTTATTCCTGACAACATATTTTAAACACAGTAGTCCCTCGTTTACCGCGGAGGGTTCCGTTCTCAGCTCCCCCATGATAAGTTAAGAACCGCAAAGTAGGAATAGTGGAACAAGTAGGCCTGTCACGATAACAAATTTTGCTGGGCGATAAATGATAATATTGTTTGAAATTTAACAATAATTAGCAATTATTGTCAAATTTAAGAAGAAACGTTGGTTAAATTTGTTTTTGAGTGTAGTACCTTTTTTTGACCACATAAGACTGTTTGAGCTGAAGGATGGATAGTGAGGGAGCGAGCAGCGTTTCTCTTTAAGAAAAATTGGAGGGAGGCCCCTTGACGTGACGTGGGCTGTCCCTCTTCGGTTCTCAAACCGGCAGACGCTCGGTGTGGTTTGAGCTCTTGCATAGCATTTTTCACACAAAGCTTTTAATTAAAAATCAGTAAACAAGTTCTCAGCTTCTTTTTGCAAAGAAAAACAACTTTTTACACAAAGGCATGGGTTTCAACCATGAATTTTGGAGCTTCGACAAGACAAGTTTTTTTCTCCAAGGTTGGCCTGTTAGCTTAGCTCGTAGCTTAGCTTATTAGCTGAGTTGCTTTTAACGATCAAAAACGCAATTTTGGACGGTTAAAACAGATTTCAAAAAAAGAGAAAGGGAGGGGTCAGTGAAGAGCACCAAAGTTGAGCCTTTTGTCATCCAGTGTCTTCAGTAGAAAGAGAGAGACACAAAGAAACGATAAAGCTGATAAATGAAAATTATCAAAATAATTTTCATTTATCATGCGATTAATTGATTTATTGTTTTTCGTGACAGGCCTAAGTACAAGTAATAAGTAGTAGTTTATGCATTTTAAACCCTTCCCACACTTGTAACATTCTAAACAATATTTCTAAACTCTACATTCTAAAAGAGCACAACATGTCATGATCTCTGCTTTTTGCCACCTGCCAGCGCTGTTGGCCACGCCCACTTCTCTGCTGCAGAGCGGAGATCATGACATGTTGCAGGACTGAGTTTCTCCCTGCACTTGTGGGCTGCACACAGGTGCAGCAGGTGCCAAATAATTTATTTTAAATTTTAAAAAATCCATGCCGATCGTGTGGCTCATCCATTGATCAGCAAATTGTGTCATGTCCAATCTTATTTTGAAAAAACGCGAAAGAGCGAGTTTGCGAATGTCGAACCGCGAAGTAGCGAGAGACTACTGTATTGCAGTATTTATTGGTCTTTAATTTCTTTAACCGTAAAAGATTGCAAATGTTAATTATTTTTACTCAATTAACATTAATTTTTCATCGCTAAATCAAGGTATAAGGTTAAAATTTCTATAAACAGATAAGGACATAATGGCATTTATTTGTATTCAGGAGAATAGTTTAGGCTTGTAGAAACAGTTTTCATGTGTGGTACATGCTGTGCTTTTAGTACTGACATTGTAAAACTTGAAGATGCAGTAAATGAAAATATTTTGTGTGTTTAAGGAGTCCTCGAGTTTTCTTTCAATGTGACTTTTGCTTTGACTTGAGATGCCCCAAATAAGCTAGTTAAATGAGTGGTGATGGGAGGTGAGGGAGGTTTGTTTCATGAAGAAAAACACTTGTTCTTTTATTGCTTTATATTAGTCTTAAAGAAAAAAAACACCCGCATTGTAAGATAGGTTTTACAAGGCTGAGTACTTTTCGAGACATGAGCAGAATTTCAGCAGAAAAGTTCAAACTTGAAAATTTGTTTTATTAGTTTATCAAAGCTTTCTTATAAATTGATCTATGAGCCGTTTATCCTTCAAACTTCTTATTTTTTTGCGTTTGAGACAATTATTTTGAATGAGGTTTGAAATTCACACTGCTGTTTGTTTTAAACATGGCTATAATGTACTGGTTGGCTAAGCTGAGCTTCCTTTTGCTTGAATCAGTTTTTAGTTGTACCATGTACAGTATAAGTTTCAAACGTGTACACTGCCTCGCTTCATCTTCAATAAATCTGCACATATTGTAACAGCACTTTTCTATTGGAGTCCGTCTATTTTTGAGCTTGAAGTTATTCTAAACTATTTTTAAAATATGAACATGCACTTGTATAAGAAGGAATTCAGCTTTATTAATTACAGTAGTCTTGAGACTATTACTCTAAGTAACTGAAATCTAACTGAATACCATCTACTTCCTTTACACATTGCTCAAATATTTATACTCAGTTTGTCACTACAGCAGTACAAATTTGTGACTGATAAATACATTTGTAAATTAAATGTGATCAAGAGTGTTTTTTTTTTTTTTTGTGGTTTTTACACAAAGTCATGAACCCTCATTGAGTCTGGCCTTGAACATTTGCTACACAACCAATAAAAAAAAAAAAAAAAAAATCAATGGTGGCATCTTGCTGAAATTTCACAAAGCTTACCTCAACATTTTGTTTCTTCAACAAAGATGCTCACATGCTAATAGATCACTTAGCATTTGGCTGGTAAGACTTAACTGCTGAAGGGGGGTACCTGTTTATCATATATACACGTCATGAATTTACCAAATTAAATTTTATTCCTTAATTAGCATTTGTTACACCTCTCTGGTTTTTGGTCCAACAATCTTGCAAATCCAAATCTGTGCATATACTTTAATTTTATCTCATATTTGCCAGAAGTGGATCAAAACATTCTTGGTAGCAATGATTCTTACATTACGTCTGCATCTTATTCATGAAATCAGAAGCATGGAGTGATAACCTGATGATTCTGTTGATATCTTTGGTTTCTAACCTCACAGCGGGGTCAGTAAAAGGCCTTTTAGCAACAAGGCACGTGGATCCAAACATGAGGCGTGAGAATAAAGACTGTTTTTTACTATCAGGGCATTTTGGGATGTTTATCACTAATGCTAAATTAATGTTCAACCATGTATGCGAGTTCAGAGAGTTATTTTTTCACAGAGTGGAGCTTTTTTTGACCTGCATGTACAGCTGGGAGGTCATCATGGACTGTCTGTGTACTGTGACAGCTTGGTAAGCGTGTATTATATAAAATAATTCTTGCACACTGTCCGACTCGGATTCTCTCATCTGGGATTCAATGATGCCTCTGTGTAAACATGCAAGTGAAAGTCTGTCCTTGCAAATAAAAAAGCGACTAAATGTCTTCTCATGTCAACTGTGGCTTCTTTGCATAATTAAGATGAATAGAGGATATTTTTATTGAACATATACATTTGCTCCTTTATGTAAATTCTGGATAAAACAACATGGAGCAGAGGTCACAGGCAGTGTGTTAAAGAGGTGAAGAAGAGAGTCCAGGCAGGATGGAAAAAAGTTTCAGGAGTGATTTGTGACAAAAGGGTGTCAGTAAAGGTCAAACGAAAAGTTTACAAGACAATGGTAAGACCAGCTATGTTGTATGGTCTGGATACATAGACATGGACAAAAAGACAGAAAGAACTGGAAGTGACAGAAATGAGGATGTTGAGGTTCTCCTTAGGAGAGACAAGGATGGATAAGATTAGGACTGAGATCATCAGAGGTACAGCACAGGTTGAACAACTGGAAGATCAGAATCAGAATAAACTTCATTGGCAGTGCACCGAGATACAACGCGAATATGTACGTACAGTCGTCCGAAGATGGGCGGAGTGCACGAAGCTGCGGCTAAAAATAATTAGCGCGACCCTCTTATTCTTATTCAGAATAATATTTTGCTTAGATGAGAAAAGGAAAGAAAACATCAGGAGAGACGGTATTAAAAAAAGATCTCTCACACCGTGTCCTAGACAGGGCACAATTTGAGGCATAAAAAAAAACTACCAAAGCAAAGAAACATAAACAGACGTTATACATGTGCATATTGGCCAGTGAAGACATTGAATTTTTAAGGGAAAGACGTAGCATAGTCCAGAGCCCCCCCCCCCCCCCCCCACCCCTAGAGATAAAGTTAGAGAAGCCAGACTGACATGGTTAGGACATGTTCAGAAGAGGGACTGTGGGTATATTGGTAAAAGGATGTTAGAAAGCTCAAATACCTCAACTATAGCCCCAAATCCCAAATGAGTTGAAAAGGAGGCGCCATGGACAAATTCCCATCAACCTGCAGCGGTGCTCGAGTACTTAACCGCCAAGATCCTGGAGCTGGCGGGAAACTTGACTTGTGACAATGGGAGGACCGGGATCATCCCCCTGCACCTTCAGCTGTCTGTCATTGGTGACGAGGAACTCAACAGACCGCTGGGAGGAATGACCATTGCTCAGGGAAGAATTCTGCCTGGCATTCGGGCAGTCCTGCTGCCCAGGAGGACTGGAAGGCCTGTCAGACCTGACAACAAGCTGGATCTGGATGGATGGATTGGTATCTGTGGCCAGATTTTTCGGCAGGAGATCCTTCCTGCCCACAACAAACATCTAACAACTCTTGAATGAAACCAGGATGATGAGCTACAACAACACTTAATTTCCCTTTGAGATTAATAAAGTATTTTTGAATTGAATTGAACCGAACTGAAATGCAGCTGCCAGGAAAGGAACAAAGATGAGATGCATGGATGCAGATAGAGAGGACATGGAAGTAGTTGGAGTTAGGGTAGCAGATGCAGAGGACTGAGTGAGATGGAGGAGGATGACTCGCTGTCGCGACCCCTGAAGAGGGAAAAGCCAAAAGAAGAAGATTTACGTTTGCTCCTCTGTGTTCAGTAACGACAAGGCACGTGGATCTAAACATATGAGGCGTGAGAAAAAAGGCTGGTTCTCACATTTGCACGTCTGTGTCGAGTGCCAGAGTTCATGTGACCCTGTGGTGTATGGACAGCTGATAGGCAAGTTTCCACACCTGGGAGCATAAAGAGGCCTTATCTTGAGTGAGCGCCACTCGCTGAGCTCTGTTGCTTACACGATGAATGCTTTTCAGACTCTCCTCCTCTTGGCTGTAGGCCTCTCTGTGGGTGAGTACAGACAAAAAGTGTGAATTTGTGCAAGTTTTTGGAAGCAGAATATGTGATCTGAGTAATTTCCCTTTGTTGCAGCCCACTCTTTGGACTACAAGGCACTCACACAGTTTAGAAATATGATCCTGTGTATGTTGCCTGATAGCTGGCCTGCGCTGGACTACGCTGACTATGGCTGCTACTGTGGTTATGGAGGTTCTGGCACACCCGTTGACGATCTGGACAGGTCATAATTCAGCCGCTTTACATTCTCGCTACCTTTAATAGCATCTGAGTTTGGTCAAAAACAACGGCTCGTCTAACTTTTTTTGTTATGACCTGCAGGTGCTGCCAAGTTCATGACCAGTGCTACAGTGATGCTATGCAGCATCCAAAGTGCTGGCCCATCATCGACAACCCTTACACTGAGTTCTACGACTACACCTGCGATGAGGCGAACCGAAAGATCACCTGCACAAGTGAGTTCACTTACAACAGAAAAGGTTAAATCATGTCATCTGGACCAGTTTCTTTACGTGAGAAACATTTCGACCCCCATCTAGAGCACTTCCTCAGTCTACGGCCTGCCAACCAGATCCATAGGTAGCCTTCACAGATGTGTTTCAAGCCAAACTCCTGTTCGAATCTCAAAAGCAGGCTTTTAACGTGCAAAGCACACCCATCCAAAACAATCAATTATCTTGTGCATCAAATATTTTAGGACAGATGGCCAACTTGCACAGTATTGAAGGCTACCTATGGGACATATCTGTTTGGAGGCCGTAGACTGAGGAAGTCCTCTGGATGGGAATGAAACATTTTTCACTTTAAGAAACTGGTCCAATGACAGTATTGAACCTTTTTTTTTGTTATCTACCTGGATGATTGAGCTCACGACCCTTTGTTTGAGTTTGCTAACCTTTTCCCTTTGTCCGCCAGATTCTTCTTTCCCTCTTGATTGATATTTATCCCTTTTACTTTCTCTTCTTCAGACAAAAATGACGAATGTGAGATGTTCATCTGCGAGTGCGACCGAGTAGCCGCAGAGTGCTTCGGCAGGTCAGAGTGGAACCCCGAGCACGAGCACCTGCCAAGTGACCGCTGCAAGTAAATTTTAAACGGTATCAAACGTCCTGATGCATGTTCAATAATCCAGGTAGAAAAATCCAACAAATTCAGATTCTCTGGACGGATTCTTCTTCATTGAAGTCTCAAATAAAGAATCTCTTCATCAACAAGTTACTTTTACTTTTTTTAGCTTTCAGCAGTAACAGATTGTTGTGTCAGTTCATTAGGACTTCTCCCCTATTCCACACATTTACACAAACATTTCTGAATTGTTTAAATAAGTGTTTCTATGTCCATATAGGGTTTCAAGTAGCCATTGATCTCATGTGCTGAATATTCATGGTTGGGTTTGCAACTGCTGGTTAGTTATCGATCATGCTCCAGTTTTCAGTGTTATCAATAGATGGCACTGTTCGTTCCCTGTTGCTTTAGCTCGAACTTAGTAGAGAAGCTGTTCGTTCTGGTAAATGACAGTCGTTCTGTGTACTTTATGTAACCTTGTCAAAAAATAAAAACGTTTTCTCAGGAAGAAAAACAAAGGTGAAAGTTCTTTTAATTTTTGCTCAACTGTTTTTTTTTTTTATCTTTTTTCCCCCCGTAATAAAATTATTTTTTAATTAATGAGTTAGGGTGATTTCTTTTTGAAACTAATTATGTATTGCTGGCAATGCGGACTGGTTACATAACCTTTTTGAGTGATTTGTTATTTTCAAACAAGTAATTAAAAAATGCATTATGATCCCTATCCAAGTTTCAAGTTTAGACAAAATAAAATAGATAATCCTTTGCAGTTTTTCTTTTTCACAAACTGTATTGTCTTGACAATACAAGCTAAATAAATCCAGTTGTTTTTTTGTTTTTGTTTTTTTACATCACCTTGATCCCAATAATATTTTGAAACATATTCAGGGTGGGGCGGCACAGTGGCACAGTTGGTAGAGCTGCCGCACAAGAAAGTTGCCAGATCAAATCCCGGCCGAGGGCCATTCTGGGTGGAGCTTGCATGTTCTCTCCGTGCATGCATGGGCTTTTTCTCCGATTTCCTCCCACAGACCAAAAGCAACTGGTAACTCTAAATTGTCCGTAGGTGTGAGTTAGAGAGTGAATGGTTGTTTGTCTCGTTTGTCTCTATGTGTCCCTGTGATGGACTGAGACCTGTCCAGGGTGTCCCCCACCTCTCGCACAGTGATAGCTGGATATGGGCACTAGTAACCCCATGACCCTAAAAGGAAAAAAAAAAAAAAATGGCTAGATGGATGGATATTCTGGGTATGACAGCTTATGTGCCACTATATTATGAAAAAAGGTAAAAATGAAAAATGTCAACTTTATCAATAACATTCTGTTCCAGATGAAGTTATAGTTGCTAATAAGGCCATTTGGCACACAGAATGGGGAAAAAAAGACCCAGCAATCAAATAATTCCTGCCTGTCTGTCTTTTAGTGAGCTGTCTGTGTTAACAACCCACAGTGATCAGTGCTGAGGCTGCAGCCCAGTGATTCACTCTTTAGGCTGTTGTTCAGACAACACGAGCATCAGCACTGCGAGCGCAGCAGCTGGTAGCTGGCTGCTGGAAGTCATCCAGCTGAGCCTTCTGCTTGTTAAAAGATAAAATGAGTAAAATGACAAATACTCTGACAAAAGTGATACAGGACTAGCGGATGTCTCACATTTTGCCCTTTTGTAAGCATGTGTGTACGTGCCTAAAAATGACTAATGTGCTTGTCGTCTCACGCTGTGTCCAAACAGGAAATCATGAAAAATATTCAAACAGAAACTGATGAAATATGAGACTACCATTGTGTTCTTTGTATCTAGCAAACAAGTCTAAACAGTATTTTATTTTTTTTACCATTAGTTAGTGTTTCCTGCCATTTTGGTAGAGATCTCACATGTTATGTCTTTTTTAATTCTTATTTATTTGCTTTAAGAGTATTTGTGAACATTTCTTTTAAAGGCCATTAATACAATTCTGCATCTTAATTTTTCGATTTGTCCTCCTTACTAATTTATCTTTCTTGTGTAAACAGCTAGATTTTCTTAAACATAGATGCCGTACACGTCACACCACCATATAAACCACATCCGTCCAAATATGTCTAATAAAGTGGAAAAAAACATAAATATGTCGCTTTGCCGTATAGGTTGCATTTATTATGCGTCAACGCTGACTATGTGGACCGGTGCGCCACAAATCGATTGGCTGCCAAATGGCGACCGCGGGAGTTTGCACAGGAGGACTTTAACAAGAACTTAACAAGATTAACACTTAAAAACAATTATTTGTTTGCTTGAAATAATCTCAAAGGTGTCTCTCAGTCTAACCTTTCCTTAATAAATGCACTTTGACAGTCAGATCCGCTGCATTTCAAAAGCCGATTTGCTGTTGTTGGGAGTGTGCATGGGAGGACTTTAACAAGAATTTAACAAGATTAACACCTAAAAACAATTATTTATTTGCTCAAAAATATAGCAAAGAACTTTTCCTTAGTATTTGCGGGGGGGGGGGGGGGGATGCTTTGCTGTAGAAGTCACAGGCATGCTAAGTTATGCAAAAACATCAGACTTATACAGTGTTACGGTATTTGGTTCAAGTTTCTAGACTTTACCAAGTAGTTTTAATGCTGAAACTGCATTGTGACTTTATGAGGCCAAACACTTACTGCAAGTAGTTGATGTTTAATAAAAAAATGCCAAAACTAACTGGAAAAAACAGTTATATTGAGGGACATCATGCTTGCCGAGTTGCCTTTTTGCAGTAAACCAGCGATGGTAAAAATAATTGCACTGTTATGCTTTAACAAGATCACTTTGTCAATAAGACAATTTGCTGAAAAGCAGCAAAGCTGTTACAGAAAGTGAGACCTGTTGTCCTCTGATATACTGACTCACAAAACACTATTTACTTTTTAGAACACTAAATGGTCATTGCAGAAACACGTACATATGTAGGTATTTTTGTCTTTGCTAGTGGAACTTATAACTCTTTCTTTCTGGCAGAAAGTGGTGAAGTGGATGAGAGGGTTCCTCACAGAGGCTCTGAGGCGAACCGATGGTTTTACTAGCCTGATTAATCACGTGAGTTTTGTGTGTGGTTGTTAGAAAGTTGTACCAGGAAGAGATATTGAAGGTGAGGGTGGACAATAAACCATAATTAAAATGCAATTATAAGAGACAGCTTCCTCAGCAGGTAGGTGCGCTGTTGTCCCCTTTTCTTTATGGAGTCCACATGCTGGGAAAAGTGTATTCCATCCTGCTCCACTAACTATACAGAGGGCTTTAAACAAATGAAATACCAAACTGGCTCTACCTCTACACTACAGCTCTTTTGTCTGGGTGATGTTGAGCTCTGAAGAGTCTTTAGTAAATGTTTGGACCGAGTTATCAGTTTTCTGCTTGTACTAGGTTAAGATAATAAAACAACAGCTTTTGCCTCACTAATAGTAGTTTGTACTAGTTTGCTTAACTAGTAGCTAAGCAGTTGCTTAGAAGTTACCCTGGGGTCCTTTGTGATCTCGCCGACTATTCCACATCTTGCTCTTAGAGTGATCTTTTTTGCTCCACCACTCCTGGGGAGGGTAACTGAATGTTCTTCATTTGTACACAATCTGTCTGACTGTGGATTGGTGGAGTCCAAACTCTTTAGAGATGGTTTTGTAACATTTTCCAGCCTCATGAGCATCAACAACTCGTTTTCTGAGGTCCTTCAAGATCTCATTTGTTCCTGCCATGATCCACTTTCACAAACATGTTGCGAAGATCAGACTTTGATTGATCCCTGTTCTTTAAATCAAACAGGGTGAAACTCACACCTGATCATCATCCCATTGATTGAAAACACCTGACTCTAATTTCACCTTAAAATAACTGTAAATCCTAGAGATTCACATACTTTTGCCTCTCACAAATATCATTTTACTCAATAAATAAATAACATAGTATAATATTTTTGTCTCATTTGTTTAACTGGGTTCTCTTTTATCTATTTTTAAGACTTGTGTGGAAATCTGATGATGTTTTAGATCATATTTGTGCAGAAATATAGAAAATTCTAAAGGGTTCACAAACTTTCTAGCACCACTGTAACACTGATGGATCTAACGAAAAGAAATAAATAACTAAACGAAAGTGCATTGTGTGAAACTCTAGGAGTGTAAGCTGCTCATACAACATTCCAGTTGATACTCCTCAGCTGTAACAGTTCCCAAAGGTTGGAATAGGACACCGGTGGCCTGAGGGAAGAGGAGCTAAATAGCAACACAAGATTAAATGAGGTGACCAAGTAGAAACAAGAATGGCAAGAACAAAGATTTTCTCACTGTTATATAATCTAATGATGACTACACCCCTGCCTGTACACACAAGTCCATGAACAATCCCAAGAAACCAGCAGTGATGCTTCCATAGTTACTTGCTGTTTGCCAAACCAATACAAGATGTAACAATTCCAAGCATGTCAAAAGCAAGGGAGTGTCTGGAACATGCTTTACCATTCAAGCTGTTTGTGCTTTTTTTTTTTCTCAGAAGATTGACTCTTTTATGTCTGGTATGTGACCAAGAGGCCAAGAGCATCATCATGTTGGGAGATTCAAACCACAAACTATCACATATATCACATATACAGCAAATACACGGCACTTGGTTTCTCTATGTATTTGGAAATGGTAGGTTTTCCACCTTTATCTTGGTTATCTGGATTCATGTTGAACACCACTTTGTGTGTATGTAGTTCATTGTATTAATGTTTAGAAAGTCTAGAATTCAGATTTTCAGAGTAGAAAAGACAAAACAAAGGTTGCACAATTTAAATATTTAATCAGATAATTAATATGAGACATGGTATTTACATTGCAACAAGGTAGTTTGCTACTGGAGTAAAAGGTAGCTTCACAATGTTCAAAATATACATTATAAATAGTTCATCCATCCCCTATATTACAAACTCCCTTTAAATAGTAAGAAATGTCATTTATGTACCATCAGTTAAAGTGCTGAAAGAATTATGGGCTAAGCCTTGGTCTGTGAGGTTGGAACCTCTGCTCTGTTTCTGCTGGACAAATACGTGTTAAGGAACTGAGCCTCATCCGTCTCTTTTTATACACATGGAAGCCTGTGGACATGCATTTGGCCGGTACTTTGAAAGTGTGGAGTAAAAACGGCTGGCGCAGCCATGGCTAGGATTTGTTCCATTTTTTTCCATGCACACTTTGTAATTCTGTCCTTTGTTGTTATCATAGACAGGTGCAAAACCAGGTACTGTGCAGAACAAGAAGAACTCAGTTTGCTCATTCAGATCTTTGTTTTGGGGTAGGTTTACTTCAAAAGAAAAAACATCTAAACCCTGGCAAGGGTCATACTTCAAGAATGTGCAGGGGATGTCTTTATAGGTTTTCCATGAATCAAAAGTCACTCTTATACACACAGCATTTGTTGCCCTTTGCATGGCACACACTGTGCCAGTCATGGTGTTCTTTGAAACATTATAATTCTCCACGTGTATTCTCTTGTCTCGTAGACGTGTAAGGTCTTGTGTGGGCTGAGGAAGACCCAGCTGCAAGTTGGTGCGGACAGGGTTGTTAGAACTTTGCTGGTCTTCAAAACAATCAGGAGGGGGCCCTTTTACCTGGTCGAAAGAGGAGAAGGACTCCCGGGTGTATAGACGCACCTCAGTGAGTTTTTTCCCCATGTCATCAGCGAACACCACACGCTTCTTGTTCACGCCGGTGTTGTTTTTGCGGAAACAGCTTCGTAGCTTGGGAGACTCTTGAGCCAAGGATGGCAATGAAAAGGAAGGGAGTCGTGTAGGATGAAGTTTGACTCTTTCTGGCGTGTAAAGTGGCAGTTCATAACGCTGCGTGGGTTTCAGAGAAGACATGGATAGTAGCCGGCAAAGATACTGGCCATTATTGAGGCTCAGACACTGGGCCAAGTCAGCTGAGTTCACAGCAGGCTGAGCGTGACTGAAGGCGTTTAAAACTCTGTGAAGAAAAACACAACACAATGGCTATTATTAGATGTACATTGTACAACAAGTCAAGTCAGTGCAATTGATTTAAATGCATTTAAATGACAACGTAACCTACCGTGCACAATTCATTTTCACACTGCAGATCTTGTGCTGAATAATTGCATATACACACAAAGGCTGCAGAAAAGTCAGTATTGCCTGCAAACAAAAACCAAGCATTGTTAAAAAAAAAAAAAAAAGTCAAATGAAACATTCAATGAACTGTGCTCACAAAAAGCTTTAAAGGTCATTGCAAATAAGAAACATAAAGGTAAAGTAATAGAGAATAAAAGACTTACAGTTTGTAGAGCTCTGTATATTTCATCAGATTCGAGAAGGGAAAGAAGAATAATCTTGACACCACTCTGTCTCTGCTCACTCTGAAGCCTGGGTGTTGAGTTTTGAAAAGAAAGAGTGCACCCTGCTGTGATGTCACCTTTACGCGAGGGCATAGTTTAACCAATGAAATGAAACCAGTTTCTTGATGTTTTGCCAATATAGAGTCGTTAAATAAGAATTGAATAGCTTCCCTTTTAAAGGCATAAAATGGGTTTGATGGGACAGTAAATAAGAATTTCGATATTTCCTCATTTCTATTTTCTAACAGCGTAAAAAAACATTTTTGCTGATTTTGATTATAAACACCAGTTTGCACATAATGCAGCAGAAAGCAAACATCTGCTGAAAGCATGCCTTTGGTTGCATGTTTACGCCTGAAGAGTTGGTATTATAGCTTTAAGAGTTTAATTACATGCAATGTGCCCTTGTCAGTTTGAGAAAAGCGTAATCTTGTATTTCACTGAGGACACTGTGTCCCGACAGTCAGCACTGCTTGTTAGATGATACGATGTCACCAAAAACTCTGGAGATCCTCCAAAAATCACAGTTTTCAAAGTCAGTAAGGGTTATTTTCCTTCATCTGGAACACAAGCAGTGGGTTAAAACCTATACAGAGTCAAAGTTTAATTTTGAAACTTGTATTACAGTATTAACAAAATTATTGGTGTAAAAACTGTAAGTGAAATAGGAAATATTAGACTTGCTAATTTTGTAAATTATTCTTGAGCAAAAGCCTCATAAGATGAAACATTCCAGAGCCAGACTGCAAAAAGACAATGACAATGAAAGATTTATATAATTCCAACCGCTTATCAAAACAGTTGTAAGAGCAACACTGGTTTGTGTAGGAGGACTAAAGGTATCTTGTCTACAGCGTTGACTTAACAGTTGTAGTAAATACATACCAGACCTTATTTTATACCACAAATCGTTATATTCTTCAGCACATGCAATAAAAACCTGCTCGGTTGTTGAGAAGTAACAAAGTCAGGATTTACAAATGCAACAATGTTTGCGTGTCAAGATAGTTTTTGGTCTTGAAGATCTGTTAATTTTTGCGTTTGTTTGTTTGTGACCAACCTTGGATTCTTGCTTTTTCGGAATATTTTGCTTCTCTTCTTGAGGTGCTTTCTCAATACCAATTAAAACAATTGAGTTCTATGCTTTAAAGCTGCGGTGAATGGCTATGCTTGTGCAAATATAACACGTATGCCGATCTCTCTCTTTCCCTTCACCTGTGTGGGTCATTAGGATATTTGTTAGCCAGGTCCATATGAGGTCCAAAAAAGGTAAAAATAAAACAAACAACAACAAAAAAACAAACAGCTGGACTTCTATTCTGAAGCCGACGACATTTCGCTTCCCATTCAAACGTCTGGAGTGTGTGAAGTTCCAAACTGCTTGGGAAGCCTTGTAGTGCACATAGATTCACCTGCAGATTAGACTGGAACTACCATACAAGCCCCACACAATGGAGGCTTGCTCGTTAGACTCTTTGTTAGCCCGGCTCACGAGAGAGATGTTTTGGTCACCAGCATGAATGGGTGAATAGGAGTGGCGCCGACTGGGGATCAGGCCTAACGCTGCATTGTAAGTTTTTGAAAGTTGAAATCTGAGACCTCCTCTTCCATTTGTTTTTTCTTGTTTGACGTCAATGGCTTCCTTCACCCTCCCCCCCTCAAACCATCTGTCTTTTCCATCTAAATGATGTACATTTTGGTCCTCCCAGCAGTGTCCCTTACCCTTGAGATTTAGGTGGACCACTGAGTCTCGTCCAGAAGAGCTGCTCTCCAGTGTTGAGCCATGCGTCTGTGGAAAAGTTTAGTTTCTCCAGTATAGAAGTCTGAACATTCTTCACTGCACTGGACTGTAGATACCACACCGCTCAGTTTGGGTGTGAGGGGTTCAGTCCTTGGGATGGGCCAGCCTCTGTCTGAGGGTGGTCCTGTTGGGTTTGAAATGTTCCAGGATGTTGTGTTTGGAGAAAATACTTCCGAGTTTCTCTGATACTCCAGCAACATATGGGAAGACAATATTTTTGCATTTGCTCTTCTCTCTGTCCTGTTCTGCAGCGTGTTTTTATTTTTTTTATTTGTTTGCCGATTTGACAAAGGCCATCTTAGGATGTCCACAGGTTTGATGTCTATTTCTACTTCTGGATGAAGGACGAAACATCTCAGCAATAAAATAAAATGAATCATCCAGATGATCCGACTGAACATTGTTGGACTTCTACTTCTATCACATGGATTCTGACCAGTGTCATCCACATATATGAATCATATCTGCTTTTGAACTGATCCTGAGCTGGATGACAGAATCTTCACCAGCACAGGAGATGTGTTTTGGTCACACAATGAAGGAGCAAACTGGTGTGAAACCAACACTGAATTATATTCAAAACTGCATTATTAATGTTGGAAATTGACACACTTCATTTAGTGTTGGCAGGGCTTGCAATACCACTACCTAATCTACAGTATATACTGTAGATACATTTGTTTCTGTTAGCAACAACCTTTGTTGAAAACTTTTCCACACCTATCAACCTTTGACAAAGACAACATTTTTAATTTGCTAAAACCAGTTTGGGAGTCACTGTGATTTAGTGCCAAATCCAACACATGGGAGCAGTACAAAACTGAGAGGAGCGCCTTTGGGCAAACCAAGGATTTGATGGTTACATTTCATTTGACAGCTGCATTTAAGGGGAGCAGAGAGATTTTACTGGGGAGAAGACTAATCAAACTCCTGCTTCCTCAAACCCAAATCAAGATGATTGACAGAAAATGCCTGGATGAAGGAAAACGTCCAAGTCTTAGATTCTTGACAAAACAGGTTAATTACAAAATCACCGAAATGTTTTTCCATTTCCCTCAAGGGACCGTTTGGCGAAGAAATCTGTGCATACCCATTTTCGCTTTCTTTGAAACATGCAATTGTTTGGTAGTCATTACATAATATTTGTTTTGTAGCAATAATTGGACTAGGTATACACGCACGCATGCATACAGTACACACACACCTACACACACCCACGCGCACAAAGAATGCAGTGGTTTATTGCTCCTGGCAATGTCCAGCTGACTAAACATTACTTTAACTCATACCAGTCACCTGTATACCATTTTATGGAACCACTTTACCCAGATGCAAATGGTGTTAAAAATGATTTTAAGAGACAAATTATGACGGTATTGTAGGTTGATGCCTTGTTGAGTCAGACCAGGCGTGCCTAATGGGAACCAGTTTTGGACAAGTTGTCCCTGTTTGTGCATAGACTGTAAGAATAAAAGTTTTATTGTGACAAAAGTAAAAAAAAACTTTTTTTTTTATATTCCAAGAAATGGTATTTTTGCTAGTCAAATACATTTGCAGACCGTGGTAAACATTAACCTCTTGGCACAAAAGTAGAACGACGACGACAACAAAATGACTTACAACATGTTTGCTAAGCTGTTCTCAGGGTTTGTACTTGACCTACAAGCAGAAGTACATCTTGTCTTTCTAACCACAATAAAAGAGCAGCGATCATACAAAGCAGGTTTCTTGACGCAAGCAGCCTTTCCCAGGTGAAGTTATGCCACGAAATGAAGCAGCAAGTAAAAGTTCACACGTGACGTCCTGTGAGGATTGTTTAACTACTGGTTAGAATGTAAACCAGCTCCAAACTAAACTGCTGTGATTTGTTTGTCATATTCCTTGTTCCTACTCTGATTGTTGCCAACTTCTTCTACACTCTCAGTTATAGAATTATTTATACCCAAATGTAGGTTTTTTAATACAGAAAAGGCAAAAAAAAAGTGTAATTTTGTTTATGAGGAAAATGTTAGAACAGAATCAAAACCCAACAGCAGTGTGCAAACATGAAGTTATTGCAAAATAGCTTTTATGCTTTTGCACCAACGTACATCTGCTCTAAGTTTGCTTCATTGTCGCTTTAATGCAAAACAAATCCAACCTAATTAAATTATGAAATGCCAGTTGTAGAAAATGCATTCTATTTGATTTTTTTAAAAATGGAAATGCAGTTTGTTCCAGAAAACATGGACAACAGTTATATTCCAGTCTTCTTCTTCTTCTTTTGGCTGCTCCTCTCTTCAGGGGTCACATTGTTTTTACTCTGGATGTCCTTCCTGACGCAACCACAGGCCACCGAGCTACCACAGCGCTCTGTGTGGAGCAGAGAGCTGACATCTAGTAGGAAACCCGGGGAGTGCAGATGGTGGGGGTTAAGGGCCTTGCTCAAGGGCCCAGAGTGGGTCAAATGAGGGTGGAGGCAGGTGTGGGTGTTTCACCTTTACCACTCACATTTTGACGTCTGCCCGAGGAGTTGAAACGGCGACCTTCCGATTGCCACCACTCCCAATTTCTAGTGTTTGCTTTTCTATTCAACTTTAAAACTCCTTTACTCCTACAAAAAAAAAAAAAAAAAGTAAAACAAATTAAACATAGTGGTTGTTGAAAAAAATAAACTATATTGTGAAGAGATTGAGTATATAGTAAATTTAGAAAGAAATAAGTCAATTGTATAAACATTGGAATGCGGTGACCCTCATTTCCCTCGTCAGTGTTCAGTCATAAATTAAATGCTGTTACAAAGA